GCCCAGCTAAGCAGGGAGGCAGGCTATCTGCTGAAGTCTCTAGTCATTGGGTTGCTTAGTTGCTTGGCTGGAGGGAGCCGCCAGCTAGCAAGCCACTACAGCATGAAGTGAGCCGGCTTCTCCCCCTGTCTCCGGGCCGACGACGCGGTTCCCAATTTCCAAGAACGGCAGCCGGACTGCCGCTGGCTGTGAGATAGTCAGTGTCGGCAAGCAGAGCAGAGTTCCCGACAGAGCTCAGATGTGACAAACCTGCACGAGACTGTGTAATGTGCGCACAGGGAGGCTAGCACAGAGCATCGAGTAAAGCACATAGGGCGGCAGTACAGGACGAAGCTCAGTTGCTCCCTTCTTCAATTCGGTAGCAGCGACAACGACGACGACAGCAACAAGATCGCAGGCCAGGTTAAGTTAATCTGCATTGGGCCGGACCAGACTAGAGCTAGGGTAGGGCTGGCCTGTTCTGGGCCAAGATGAATATTGTCATATGTACCTATGGCTCTCTGCGTTCCATTTATCTGCATAGAATCTTGTTACTCACTTATACCGACAAACATAACACTGTCGTTGAACGGCCGGCTGCTCGTTTGCTGCGGCGCTTGACTGAGCCTACTTACCTGCCGCTAGTTTATTTGTCGACCTACAACTCGTCCCGAACTGGGTGCAGCTTTTTCACCTATGTATCTCAGTGGCCATGAGGGGAAGATGTGGCAGTGACGACTTTCCCACATCGCTGTTAGACTGCCAGTAGCAATAACAACTGCGTCCATCAGCATCATATCCTCACTCATAAGTCGTTGCAGTGACGAATCGGCGAAGCTTTTTTCCGATTGAAGACAGTGACGACGCTGCTGCTGCTGCTGCTGCTGCTGGCAGTGCTGATAGGCGTCGTAACGCTGCTGGTCGACCTAGACCACCATAGAGTACCTACCACGCTATTGTTCCTTGTTGGCCTGTCACACACACACACACACACACAAAATAGGCGGTGACAGCTCGGTGCATACTATGCAACAATCATGCTACTTTCTCCGTCGAGCGAAAAAGTCCTCAACGCAAGCTCCAATATCGATACCAGACTCCACGCACCAGCCTACAATTAGCCAGTATTATAGCCTTTGTGATAGCTACAACAGATCAACTATCCTATCGTTTCTTGAGGGTCCACTACCAATTTTGACGACACTCGTCAGACCAACTAGAGCCTGGTGATAAAATGAGCAGTTAAGTGAGTGCGTCCTGCTTAAGATAAGGGATCCTTCACAAGCGATTGTGTAGGTGTCATCGTGCTCCTGAAAGCACTGGGTGGGTGGGTGGTTGGCCGGCTGACTGGCTGACTGGCTGACTGACTGACTGACTGACTCGCACAGGTATAGAGAACGAGGAGGCTAGGTACTTAGCGCAACGAAGCGGGCTATCCGATTGCCGTCGCTAATGGCGTTGTTACCAATAGCATCTCATATATGAATGAGTGATACATTCTCAGAGTTCATCCCATAGCTTTCCGCCACCTGTACTGGGAATAAGAGTAGTAACTGTTGTGTGCATAATGAAAGCTAGTCCTTGTTAGATTACGTTCGCTTAAGACCTCAGGAAACCGTAGTGAATATCTATGTTTTGGCAATAATTGAACATTTATGGGTGAAGTAAATCTGCCTTTCAATTTTTCATTGACAGTTTAGATTATTATGGGTGAAGCTTTGAAAAGCTTTGAATCCTGTAAGGCTCAGCGGAAGCAAGATTTCTAGATGCAATCAGGAGACTTTCGATAGAATTCAGGTAAAGAATCCCGTCAAACAACTTCAACTGAAAGAAGTCCTATACATTGTCATGTACAATTGACTAGTTCTGCTGCACTAGACACTCAGCTTTTAATTGAACAGACGTTTCGAAAAAAGTTATTTCCAGAGAAGTTAGTATGTAGGTGAAGTGTCGATGATGAGTTCCTATCTAATCCCAAGGAGGCGAAACATATCCGAACCTAACTTTCATCGAGCACCTGAGGGCTCCTTTTAGCCGGCAGTGAGTAACGCAAACCCACTACACGGCCCTCCTATCAGCCACTGCATTGTGTACCCAATAGATTTCGGTTGGTCGAATTAATTCGTCACTGAAATGAGCTTCGCCAATCAACAATAATAAGAACTGGTTGAGCTCTGAAGTTAGTACGACTTCAACCAGTTTGCGCTATGCTATTGCTACAATTATACCATTGTACATTGCAGTATGGAATATTCTAGGAACCGTACGTAAGAAGCTTTTATTTCTACTAATCGAGTCCTGACTTATACCAAATATAAACACTCCTCAGTTAACTGCGACACCTAACAAGATCAGGTAGCGTTACTTCTTAAAGAGATAGAATGACAAAAAACGTCAATTAAATGAACGAATGAATACTTCATGTATCTTTTAATCACGAAGCGTTTGGCACCGGGTAAGAATACCAGCTCGTACCCGATACAGAATCTGTTCATACTAGGTATTTTTGTTCCTATAATACATATAGGTAGAAGTCGTTACGTGCGTTGAAGTTCTGGACGTTCACGCCAGTATTCATCAATGGTGACCGAAACTCACTCGTCGTCGGCTTTAGACGGCGTCCAAAAACCGCAGATTTACCATCAGCGTTACGTTGATAATACTTTCCCTTTGATTGTGTCCATTTGCGGCTTTCAGTTTTTGTCTGCTATTGTATCGTCTAGCGAATCCACAGTCGCCGCATCACATCACCCAGTCGTTTACACCCTCTTGCGACTAATACGTAAACAGCTGAGCGTAGAGCCAATTTATCATACGATTTGCCAATCGTTTCAATATGTCAAAAACAGCAATTTTTGTAGTAACATCTGCTTCATCAAATAAGACCGTACGTAGCTGGCTATTGGCGGGTCAATTCGCCTTGTTCAAACGTGTAGCAGACCAAGTAGTAGGTAGTCCAAGTGGACCAAGGTAGTCAAGGTACAACACCTTTCCCTTAACTGGGATAGCGGAAAGGGTAACATTTATAGACCTCTTCGATTTTGTTTCCTTACCACTAACACTTTCAAATTTTAAATAGTTCTGTGATTTGATTGTTGGGTTTTAATGGACTGTAGTCCTCAATTGATCCAATTAGCCTTCAAGAACCTACAATATAGTGAACACCTCGTCGCCTAGCAAATATGCCGGGACCAGGGTCTAGCCTAGTATATAATAAATTAGAAAATGATTTGCGCAATCCTTATTTTTTTCTCTCTCTTTTTCTTATTTATTCTCACCATCGGGGGGGTATATCAACATAGTAATATCACGGGACGGCGGTAAGCGTTCTCAGTGGTTCAATCGACTCTAAAGAGGCCATGTAATGAATGTCGTCAACTAGCCATCAGTGAAACAGTACATTCAGAAACTAGGTGTTATAGAAGTGTATTGAAATCGAATCAACCACCTAAAATAGCCTAAATAGTTAACCTAAATAATCGAATCAACCTAAAGAGCATGCCCATCGACCCATTTGTTAGAGCAGGAGGCTTAACCAGATATTTAGCTACTCGCAGAATATATTCGAAAGCGATGCTATTCCTTGTGAACGGGCACTTGGTCCACTTCTTACGCAAGACAATCGCAGTTGTCCTGTTCTGTCCTATCTCTGCAAATAGCCTGACTAATGCTGCAATGGCAAAAAAAGGACTCCGTGCGTCAATAATGCTGTGCTGATATGCGTTACCGTGTAAATATATACATCAATAGATGGATCTGACTCTCAGTAGATATTCTCAGCTGCTAAGTTAACTGCACAGATATGGTGGAGCCAATACAAGCAGAATGCTGGTAATTCTAATTATATGATATGATGTCAAACTAACAAACCTATCCACAATCCTCGGACAAGATGTGTTCAAATAAAGCTCACCATAGCCGTTTTTTCCCGCGGTTTATTATTGTTATGCTTATTATAATTACAGTACAATATGTGTATTGTTAGCGGTTGCCTACTGCACTAGCCCGAACATATATTAACCCAGTATTTTGCCACTGCTCTCAGCATCGCACTATGGAAAGCAAGCTTATCATGTAGAGCACAAT